TCTGTTAGTATATGGTGACAGTTCTGGAAACACGTGACACCTGGGAAGGCAGCAGGATGTAAGGTCGGCAGGGAGCAGTGATTTTAGACCCAGTGTCAGCTGAGACAGTGACATTTAAGCAAAGACCGCAAGGAGATGAGGGGGTGAGGCATGAAGATTGACATTCATGGGAGAGTGGTCCAGGCAGAAGGAATGACAGATGAAAGGGCCCCGAGGCTGGTGTGGGATGGACAGGTCTGGTGATAAGAACATTGTGGCTAGAGACCGAAGAGTGATAGAGGAGGAGGGTGGAAGGCAGTGTGGGATGAGTGAGGACGTTGGCTTTGGCTCTAAGGGAATGGGAAGGAAGAGGGTTCTGAGCAGAGGAGGGATGTGATCTGATTCCTGTTTATAGGTTCCCTCTGTGGGATAAAAAGGACTGTGGGCAGTGTAAATGAAAGGAAAGAGAACTCTGACCCTCCACACAGCTCAGCGGGGGCGGGAAAGGTTTGTGTGTGTCATACTTACTAATTAAACATGTGGCCAATCAGCAGCAGCCCTTGGATTTGAACCCGTGTCTATGTGACTCCAGTGCCACTGGGTAAATTATCATTTACTGGGTACCTATGTGCCTGTGACTTCAGGGGGATAGAGACCTTAATACAATGGAAGTGCTCTCTCTGTTTCTGATAATACCTCGGCAACAGCGCAATGAGAAGGAATTCACTTAAACATGTATTGAGTCCCTACTGTGTTATAGGTACGAGGCGGCAGGGAACAAAAGGAAGCAAAATTTCTTTCTGCCTTGGAACCTGGCTGGCATGGCTCAGTGGTTGAGCATAAACTTATGAACCAGGAGGTTGTGGTTCGATTCCCGGTCAGGGCACATGCCAGAGTTGCTGGCTTGATCCTCAGTAGAAGGCGTGCAGGAAACAGCCAATTAATGATTCTCTCCATCATTAATGTTTCTGTCTCCCTCTCTCTCTTCTTTCCTCTATGAAATCAATATATATATATATATATATATAATCTATATCTATATCTATATCTATATCTATATCTATATCTATATCTATATCTATATCTAAAAGCCTAAGTGACCAAACGACCAATGACCAAATGACAGATTGACTGGTTGCTATGATGGGCACTGACCAATAGGAAACAGATGCTCAATGCACAGGATAGGGCTCCCTCCTGTATGGATCAGGCCTACGTGGATCAGGCTGAAACTGGCTATCTGACATCCCTTGAGGAGTCCCAGATTGCAAGAGGGCACAGGCCAGGCCAAGGGACCCCACCAGTGCATGAATCTGTAGACTGCAAAGACCTACTCTTGCATGAATTTCATGCAACGGGCTTCTAGTGTATATATATATATATTTATATATATATATATATATGATATATATGTGTATGTGTGTGTGTGTGTGTGTGTGTATATGTATATATAAAAAATTTCTCCCCTGGAGTAGTTTATACTCTAATAGGGAAAACAGACAAAAAGCATTAAAAAGGGGGAGGATTGCCCTAGCCCCTTGGTCAGCAAACTGTGGCTCGCGAGTCACATGTGGCTCTTTGGCCCCTTAATTGTGGCTCTTCCACAAAATACCACAGCCTGAGTGAGTCTATTTTGAAGAAGTGGCATTAGAAGAAGGTTAAGTTTTTAAAATCTGGCTCTCAAAAGAAATTTCAATTGTTGTCTTGTTGATATTTGGCTCTGCTGACTAATGACCACTGCCCTAGCCAATTTGGCTGGCTGGATATAGCGTCAGCCTGGGGACTAAAGGGTTCAATTCCAGTCAAGGACACATGTTCGGGTTGAGGGCTTGATCCCCAGTGGAAGCAACCAATCAATGATTCTCTCTCATCATTGATGCTTCTATGTCTCTCTCTCTTCCTCTCTGAAATCAATAAAAATATATCTTAAAAATAAATAACAAATAAAAAGGGGAGGGTTACGTAGGATTTTAAAACATACTAGTAAATACTGATGGGAAAAAATGGGGCAAGATAGGGGAGTCAAAAGGGCAAGGGGTTGAGACTGCAATTTTAAAAAGGGTGGTCAGCCCCAGCCGGTTTGGCTCAGTGGATAGAGTGTCAGTCTGTAGACTTGGTTCGATTCCAGTCCTTGGTTCGATTCCAGTCAAGGGCATATGCCCAGGTTGTGGACTTGACCCTCAGTGTGGGGTGTGCAGGAGGTAGCCGATCATTGATTTTCATTATTGGTGTTTCTATCTCTCTTTCTCTGTGAAATCAATAATATATATATATATATATATATATATATATATATATATATATATTTATTTATTTATTTTTTTTTTTTTTTAAATATATTTCTTTTTCATTTTAGAGGAAGGGAGGAGAGAGAGATAGAAACATCAATGATGAGAGAGAATCATTGATTGGCTGCCTCTTGTATGCCCCCTGTTGGGGACTGAGCCCAAAACTCAGGCATGTGCCCTTGGCCTGAATTGAACCTGGGACCCTTCAGTCCACAGGCTGATGCTCTATCCACTGAGCCAAGCCGGCTAGGGCAATAAAATATATTTTTAAAAAATAAAATAAAAAGGGTGGTCAATAGAAAAAGACAAAAAAAATATGGTGGTCAAGACAGGCTTCTTGCTAGAAGTGACCTTTGAAAAATGAATCCAAGGAAGTGAGGGATGAAGCCATGTGGAGCTCTGGGAAAAGTATGCTCTAAGCAGAAGGAACAGTGTGGAATGTTAAACGCACATCTACAATTATTCTTTCAGGGAGATTCTTGCAAAGACCCTGAAGTGGGTTCAACATAAGTGAAGGAGCTGACAACCAAAGCATGCGGCCATTGGAAGGTTCAGGTCCCAGCCCTCTCACACTCTACTCATTTCCAGGCTTAGTAAATTCTGTCCCCTCAGCCCAGAACACTGTTTCTTCTCTGGACAAACTGCCAATGGACCCTCAACCCTTAACTCCCCCGTTACAGCTTCAGAGAAGCCAATCTGAGACCTCATCCCACAGACCCTGAAGACCCCTCCCCCCAATTCCAAACCCTCAGCCTTCTCCGCTGGACTATATCTCAAGGGTGCCTACTGGATTTACTCCCATGGTATACAGTCGGTGCCTAATACAATCATTAAGCAACAAAGTGCCATTCCATCATTCATCACAAAAAATCTTAACTCCCTGGCAATCTGCCTGTAAAACCAAACTGGTTCTGAGAGGAGACACGCAGCTATTTGTGGTGGTGACTTCTGGGAAGGGAACAGATTTTTTTCGTGCTAGTTACCTTTTTTGTAGTTTTTGAAAATTTCTTTACCACGTGCAAATTACTGACACAAACATAAAATGAATAAATAGAATTCTACAAAACAAAGGACTAAAAGACTTTTTTAAACTGCAAAGAATGTGGAATTTTAAACACATGTTCACATTTGTTTTTAAATATAGTTTATTGATTTTTATTTTTTTTTAATGTGCCCGCAACCAAGGTACATGCCCTTAACCGGAATCGAACCCAGGACCTTTCAGTCTGCAGGCTGACGCGCTATCCACTGAGCCAAACCGGTTTCGGCACGTTCACATTTTTTATTCTTGCAGGGATAGAGTACACAATGAAATACATTGTAAGTTTTAATTAATACTTCATACAAATATTCAAATGATATATATCAGATGAAAAGAAGGAAAAAAAAGCCTGTATCTTTAGCTTGTCTTTCAAATCCTCCAGGGTCCCTGGTTCGATTCCAGTTAAGGGCATGTACCTTGGTTGCGGGCACATCCCCAGTGGGGGGGGTGTAAGAGGTGGCTGATCGTTGATTCTCTCTCATCGATGTTATAAATCTCTATCCCTCTATCTTCCTCTCTGTGAAAAAACAATAAAATATATTTTAAAAAATGATAATAATGTGATGTATTAAGTTTTCACCTTGTGACAAGCATGAAACGTTTTGCCTCCATTTATTTCATTAAAGTCCTACAGCCGCCCCATTTTCCAGATAGGAAAACTGACAAGAGGTCGGTCCAGACCACTGACGCCCTGGTGACCAGGCCTGACCAGGAAGGGAAGGCTGCTATGGGCTCGTAGCGCCCCTGGAGGTCGTGCAGGGAACGTGGCAGAGAATTTATAAATGAGCATTTGGATTACGATGGAGGTCTCTGGATCTCCGCTTTGCTTTCTCCTTGGAAAACCCTGGCAGTGCTCTGACGGGACAGGAACCTGGCCTGGGCGGGCGGGAGACAAAGACCTAATCTGAGGGGATTGGGTGACGGGGAGGGGGAGAGACACCCATCCCTGGGGAATCTAAGCGGATAGGCACTGCCCTGCAGGCTCAATCCTGAGGGCTTTCTGGAGAAAGTAAGACCCCGCAAATACACTAACAAGCAAGACCTCTTATTGAAAAACCATCGGGGAGTCTGGGAGGCTAAAGGGGGGGCGGGGCCGGGAGGTCGTGGCTTCCACCAGAAGCGTAAAAGCTCCTGGTCACGTTCCCTTTCAGTGGTCGGCAAACTGGCTCGCGAGTCACATGCCGCTCTTAGGCCCCTTGAGTGTGGCTCTTCCGAGGCCTGGGCGAGTCTATTTTGAAGAAGTGGCGTTAGAAGAAGTTTAAGTTTAAAAAATTGGCTCTCAAAAGAAATTTCAATCGTTGTACTGTTGCTCTTTGGCCCTGTTGATAGATGAGTTTGCCGACCTCTGCTAGGTGTCCTCCCAGAACCGCCCAGCCATGGGCGGGCCGCTTTTCCAGACTAACGCCCATTGGCTGAACGAGCACCGGCTCTTCGAGGGGGAGAGTGGCCTGGGGGGCTCCATGCTGTGGGGTCGCGTTCCCAGGTGTCGCAGGGGGCCTGTAGGTCAGGAATGGAAACTGGGGTCCTGGGAGGGCGGTGGGGTCTCGGCGTCCTCACTCTTGCACGCTCGGCTTTTCGGCCCCGAATGGGGGCGGGGCCGCCGGCGGCGGCGGCGGCGCAGGCGTGACGTCATCGCCAGGCGCCGCGCGCAGAGAGAGCCCTGACCTCGGGGCGCGCGGAGCTGCCTGGCGATGCTGCGGCTGGTCCGGGCCGGGGCGCGGGCCTGGCTCCCGCCCACCCGCTGCCAGGTGAGGCCGGGACTGGGAGCGGGGTCGAAGGACCAAGGTTGGCGGGTGCAAGGGTCGTCTCTCATTCTCGCCCACCGTTTACAGCGGCTGAGCGTGCTGGCGGAAGAGGCAGCGCAGCCACCGGAGAAGCCGGAGCCGGTGGCGAGCCCGGGTGAGATTGCTGGGGTCGCCCCAAGAGGGGCGTCAACAGGGAGCACGAACCCTTCCCCCAGACCCCTGACTTACCAATTGCTTCAGGTCCCCCGGCACCGGTGCTGCGAAAGTGCGAGCTCCCCGTGCCCTCACACCGGCGTCCGGTGCAGGCCTGGGTCGAGTCCCTGCGGGGCTTCGAGCAGGAGCGCGTAGGTCTGGCCGAGCTGCACCCCGACGTTTTCTCCACGGCGCCCAGGTGAACTGAGAGCCGAAATGGTGAACTGGGTGGCAAAGGGACAGGGAGCGCGAGTTTAGGAATCAGGTTGACCTGGGCTGGAGCCCGGGCTCTCCACCTGTCCAAAGGGGATGATGATAGCTTTGCGCAGTGGCAATGAGGTTTATCCGAGGCGCGATTATTGCGAATTGAAAAAAAAAAAAAAAAGGCGGGGAGGGGATGATGATTTTTTCCTGCTGCATGGTGGTGCGGTTGGGAGCTGAGGGGAACAGTCTCGAGGCCGGTTAAGGATGCAGAACAACGGAGCTTGCAGGGGTTAGGGATGCAGAACCTCTTTCAAACCCTGCCTTCCCCCATTCTGTCAGACATCAAGAGGCTGTCCTGATGATTAGATGAGATGCTTCTGGCACATAAGTTCAATAGCAATGTTGATTATCGTTGCTGTTACTGGTGTTTGCAAAAATCGGTTACTAACAGTGTCTAAATCTTTTCTGTGTGCCTGGTACAGCTATTTGCATTCTAGTTAACTAGATCTCATAGCAGCACTAGGAATGCATCTTGTTATCCTTGTTTTGTAGATAAGGAAACTGAGCACAGACAGATTAAGAAATTGGCCCAAGGTCACACAGCTTGTAAACTTTAAAGCCAGGATCTCAATCTTACGTGCGCCTACTCCCAGGGCTGGGTTATTGCTTGCCCAGGTGTATGATGCTCCTCATGTGCATGGTGTCTGGTACCATAATAGATGCTATTAATTCATTCCTCTTAGTGTTATTGATTTGGTTTGCCCCTGCCTGAGCAGAGTCCTCATCTAATAGAGGGTAACAAAGAAATTTTAAAACAACGTATTTTGTCCTGTAAATATTTATGAAGCACCTATTGTAGTAGGTAGTGAACACTGATGTTGCTTACAGTCTAGAGGAAGGGTCAGCTTTTTCAGTAAATGGTCAGATACTAAATACTTTAGGTTTGCAAATTAACATCTCCATGGCAACTATTGATCTCTAGCAATGTAGTGCAAAAAGCAGCCATGGATGATACATAAGCAAATGATCATGGCTATGTTCCAGTAAAACATTTACAAAAAGAGGCAGCAGGCCAGATTTGGCCTATTAGCCATAGTTTTCCAACCCCTGGCACAACCATTACCCTGGCAGCTGTGTGCAGGGTAGCCACATAATGTGAGCCTCATATCATGCAATTTAAAATCTGCTAGTAGCCACATTTTTCACAACAACGGGAAGAAACAAGTGAGATTGCTTTCAATATAATTTATTTAACCTGATGTAGCTAAAATGTTGTCATTTTAACACGTGGCGCTGCCCACATTTTAGGTGTTCAGTAGCCACACACGTGGCCAGTGTCTACTGTGTGGGACAGCGCAGGGTTAGAGTCAAACCAGTTCACAGAGAAGGTGGCATTAAGTTAGCTGTAATGGTAGGAAAGAAGGAAGGTGTAGCTCTCTCTTTTGCAAGGGAGCTTCTCTGGGTGATAACGTTTGGGCCGAGTCCTGTAGGCTGAGAAGGAACCAGTCAGGGGAAGAGCGTTTCGGTCAGAGGGAACAGCCAGTGCAAAGACCTGGAGGCCAGACTCTATTTCACAGAAAGGAATGGAGGGCAGTGTGAAGGTGGCAAGACCTGGGGTCAGAGAAAGGCTGAGGCAGACCACACAGAGCCCTGGCGGGGGAAGAGAGGAGCCTGGGTTTTCACTAATGGGGTGGGGACTGTGGGGAGGTTTTAAGTTGACGGAGACCTCTCGTGTCTCCTTCCTCCACAGGCTGGATATCCTGCACCAGGTCGCCATCTGGCAGAAGAACTTCAAGAGAATTGTGAGTGTCCTGCGTGGGGTGAGGTGGAAGCCCCTCAGTGTGTTGTCTCTAGACTACTGGGCTTGGGCCCATCTCTCTCTCCTGACCATCCACTGGCGGGTCATTTGCTGGGCATTTTCTGAACACCCTCTGTGCCCTGGGCATGGTGCCAGAGAATGGGACAGGAGAGATTCCTGCCCTCATGAAGCTTACTGCTTAGTCGGAGAGGTGAACATGAATCAAGGAGTGATAATCTGTAAATGTGTGGTTACGTGCTCGCTTTGGCAGCACATATACTAAAATTGGAATGTAAATGTGTGGTTAGGGAAGTTATCCCACAGAAAGGGATATTTAACCTCAGGTCTGCAGTAAGAGTAACTAGGTGAGTCCGGTCAATGTGGCTCAGTCTTCACCATGGTTGAGCGTTGACCCAGGAACCAGGAGGTCACGGTTAGATTCCCGGTCAGGGCACATGTCCGGGTTGTGGGTTCAATTCCCAGTGTGGGGTGTGTAGGAGGCAGCTGATCAATGATGCTCTCTCATCATTGATGTTTCTATCTCTCTATCCCTCTCCCTTTTCTGAAATCAATAAAATAAATAGCCAGGACCGGTTTGGCTCCGTGGATAGAGCGTCGGCCTGCGGACTGAAAGGTCCCGGGTTCGATTCCAGTCAAGGGCATATACCCTGGTTGCAGGCACATCCCCATTTGGGGGTGTGCAAGAGGCAGCTGGTCGATGTTTCTCTCTCGTCGATGTTTCTAACTTCTGTCCCTCTCAATTCCTCTCTGTGTAAAATCAATAAAATAAAAAAAATATATATATATATATATTTTTTTTTTTTTAAAGGAACTAGGTGAAGGGGACAGTGGGGCTGGGGTGAGGTAGTGGGGACAGCATATGCAAATGCCCTGTGGCAGGGGCCAAAAACAGCCCAGTGGAGCTTAGAGGTCAGCAGGAGTCATGGTGAAGACTAAGGTTGAAGAAGCCATCGTCAGTCAGGACCTCTGCCTTCCATCTGCCCACCTCCGAAGTCTAGCGAGTCCTCCCCCTGTCCACACCCTCCCTGGTTCCTTCTTGCTCTAGGAATGAAGCGGCTAGCCTGGCATTGAAAGATCCTCATGGTTCCCCACCCTACACCTCTCTGATTCTCCGCGTCTTTCCCCACGCTCCACCTTCCTTTCAGTTGCAGCCACATTGGAATGATTCCAAAAAATACTGAGCAACTACTGATGCCAGGCCGCAGAGTCCCTGCCTTTCTGGGACTGACATTCGGGAGTGCAGGAGGGAACTCTTGATTTCCTGTCCTTCCTCCCTCTGAAAGTGATCTGTGCTTGTCCTGATAGAGCCCCATTCTCTGCGTCCTCTCTGGCTCTCCATGGCAGGCCCAGTCCATCCAGGTCGCTGCTATTTCCTGGGCTTGGTGCCTTTTGGCTGCAGTGACATCTGCCTCATGGACCTGACCCTCCTCACTTTGTGTCCACAGAGCTATGCCAAGACCAAGACTAGAGCTGAGGTGCGGGGCGGTGGCCGGAAGCCCTGGCCACAAAAAGGCAGTGGGCGTGCAAGGCACGGCAGTATCCGCTCCCCGATCTGGCGAGGAGGCAAGTGGGCAGGGCGGGGCGGAGGCTCTGGGCTAACTCGGGGTCTGGATGTTTCTTTCTACACATCAGCATGGTGTCTTGTTGGTCCCATTCCCTCTACCCCACCCGGGGCAGGGACAGCAAGACTCAGACCCACTCCCTCACCGCCCACATGCAGGCAGAGGGTCGTTCCCTTTTCCTATCCCCCGGTTCTCCCCGACACCCCACCTTCAGCCAACTCCGGCTTTGGCCTCTCTCATCAGACTATGGCCACAGCCCCTTTTTCCCTACCCCACATCTCATCTCTCCTGGCCCACATCACACAACACTCAGGATCTTCCTAAACCTCCCAGCTTCTGCCTTTGCATGAGCTCCTTACCTTGCCATTCCAGGCACTGATGGCTGCTGGACTCTCCTGATGTCCCCTTAACACCCTTTCCGCCCAGATAGCTCTGACTTAGTCATCTCCCCTTTGCCTGGTCAACTCTGCTCATGCTTCTGGTGTGTTGGGGCCATTCTCCTCCAGGCAGCCCTCTCTGACCTCCCTTGGATTCCCTGTCCATCCACGCCCACTCCCAAACTCCTGGGCTGCCATGCCCAGCCCTGATTCCCTCCGCGATCAAGCCTCTGTATGAATAGGAATGGCGTGAGGGCAGGGATCCTTCCATCTTGCTCTGTGCTGTATTCCAGAGCCCAGGGCGAGGGTGCACAAACAGGTGGACAATCCTCACTCGGGTTTGATGGCTGAAGAAACAGAGGCCCATAGAAGTGAAGTTACTAGTCTCCGGATGCCCATCAGGCCCCACCTCTCCATCCTTACCTGAGGCCCTGCCCTCTTTGCTGGAGTTGAGCCTGACTGCTGGCAGCTTACCCCCCCCCCCCTCTCACCTACCACTGGGGCTAATTTTTTACATCCAGTTCCAGCTGGGCGCTCACCTGTTCACACACCTCTGTGCCCACAGGAGGTATTGCCCATGGCCCCCGGGGCCCCACAAGCTACTACTACATGCTGCCCATGAAAATGCGGGTGCAAGGCCTCAGAGTGGCGCTGACCATCAAGCTGGCTCAGGTACAGCCCCGATCCCATTGGGAGCATGGGGTGTTTGTGTGCGGGCTCTGAGGGCCTGGGAGATGGCAGTGCAAACCTCTGTCCTTCCTCCCATCAGGACAACCTGCACATCGTGGACTCCCTGGAGATGCCTACTGCAGACCCTCAGTACCTAACGGAGCTGGCCTGCTACCGCCGCTGGGGGGACTCCGTGCTCCTGGTGGACTTGTGAGGATGCAGGCAGAGCAGGGTGGGGCTGGGCTCCGTCCTCTGCAGGCCTCACCTCCGGCCTCTCTTTCAGAGTGCACGAGGACATGCCTCAGAACATGGTGGCCGCCACATCGGGGCTGAAGACCTTCAACCTGATCCCAGCTGTGGGTGAGTGAAGGGTCCAGGGAGTGCCTGGGCCAGTTTAAGTCCTGTATCTGCTGCTCAATCACTGAGTGGCCCTGGACAGTAACTACCCTTCCCCCACCCCCACCCCCCCCCCTTCCCCACCTCTACCCCCAATCCTGAACTGGCCCAAGCGGAGCACTGGGAGAACGATGTCTTTCTTAAATGCTCTGATACCACGTTGTCCAACTGCGCTCACAGTGATGTGCGTGGAGTGAGTGCGAGGGCCACTGGCTGTCCCCACCTGGCTCCTCGCTCAGAGGCAGAGAGGTCGGGTCAAGTCTGTCCTGAGCACAGCACAGCTTTGCCCATCGACTGATTCCGAGCTCTCCCGGTCTCCTGGTTGCATTCCTGCTGCCTCCTGGGCATCTCCTTCCCTCCAGTGGCCTGGGCCCACACCCTCCACCCCGTGCGTCAGCTCACACACTTGGCTCTGTCTCTAAACACCCAGAAGCTGACCGCTTCCTGCCACCCGGGGCCAGCCCGCTGCCTTGGTCAGCACAGCCCCCTCTGCCCTCGTCCCCACAGTCTGTCCCCCACCCCAGCTGCCAGGCGACAACCTGTGAGCACCTGAGTCTGCGCACATCCCTCTCCGGCTCTGCATGGCTCCCCCTGCACTCTCGGGGGTCGGGGGGAGCCCAAGTCCTCCCCAAGACCCACCAGATCCTGCATGACCTGCCCTGTCCCATCCCTGCCCTCCCTCCTCCCTCTCTCCTCCGTTATTAACTGCAGCCCCACTGGGTACCTTGGTACATTGTTTTACTTCATTTGCTCTGTCTGTGGTCGGTTCCATCCATGGGAATCATGGTCAAGCAGAGGGCAGAGCCAGGCACGTGGGAAGCTCTCAGTCAGAAGCTGATGGGTTGACAGTCCTTGCCCAGGGTTCCCCCTTGGTGAGCTGCTGAGCCAGGGTTTGAGTCCAGGCCGCAGGGCTTCTGACCCCATGCCAGACCCTGGTGTCTCTGTAAGAGGAAGTGCTCCCGGGAGGAGGGAAAGGGGCTGCAGATGGGTACAGCCCCTCTCTGACTACACTCCCTGCCTCCCCAGGCTTGAACGTGCACAGCATGCTGAAGCACCAGACGCTGGTCCTAACCCTGCAGACTGTTGCCTTTCTGGAGGAGAAGTTGCTCTGGCAGGACTCACGCTACTCGCCCCTCTATCCCTTCCGCCTGCCCTACTGCGACTTCCCCTGAGCCCCGCCCCTGCGCCCCAGGGCCCACCAGCTGCCTGCCTTCCTGCGGCGCTCTCCGGCCAGTGCCTGCTGAGCCTCGCCGAGACTCTGGCGGCTGCGAGGGCAGCACTGTCCAGGCTCCCTTGTCCCAGTGGGAAGCTGAGGCCGGGAAGAGTGGCTGGGCGGGCCAGGCAGGCCACACGGTCATGACCAGGAAGGGGCAGCTCGGCAGAGAGCCCAGTCAAGCTCCCATCCAATTCTCTCTTCTGTTTTAAAGATAAGCTTTATTTTTTAATTACAGAGGAGAAATAGAACAGCTCATTGCCGTGTTGTGGATAATTCCAGCTGGCAAGTCGGGCTCTTTCCTCGGTGCTGGGCACCGCCAGTCCCTCTCCTCAAGGGGCGACCTCAGTGCTGTTTATAGGAATGGCTCGGAGTTAGCTTCCCTGGGTGAGCCAGCGCCAGGGATTCACAGGGTTGGAGCACTGCCCTTTCCTGGGAACCTGCTCCTGGCACCGCCTGGCTCTCGGGCACCCAGACCCTGTTAGGAGAGCATGCGTACAGGAAGCTGGGAGCGTGCCTGGGACAGCTAGTGCCAGGGGGATGTGGTTGTTCACAGTGCTGTACACCTGCTTTCCTAGCAGGCTCTGGGTCCCCTTTGTTATGGTCCTTCGGTCCGATGTGGGGACTTGATTCCACTAGTAGGTGCCATGTGCACACCAGAGCTTCCATCACAATGATTTCCCCTGAGCTCAGAATCAGAATCACTGTGGTCAATAAATGAGAGAATAAATACATTTTTTTAAAACACCAAACCAGTATCCCAATTCTTGCATCTGCTGAATTAATCCTTCTGTTACTTCCATCTCTGCAATATATTTTATTGATTTTGTACAGAGAGGAAGGGAGAGAGGTAGAGAGTTAGAAACATCGATGAGAGAGAGTCATCGATCAGCTGCCTCTTGCACACCCCCTACTGGGGATATGCCCACAACCAAGGTACATGCCCTTGACCGGAATCGAACCCGGGACCCTTCAGTCCCCAAGCAGATGCTCTATCCATTGAGCCAAACCGATCTTGGCTCCAAGTTAATTTTTAAAATAATCATAATACAGCCCAGCAGGCATGGCTCAGTGGTTGAATGTCTACCTATGAACTGGGAGGTCACGGTTCGATTCCTGATCAGGGCACATGCTTGGGTTATGGGCTTGATCTCCAGTGTGAGATGTGCAAAAGGCAGTCGAATGGTTTTCTCTCAACATTGCTGTTTTTACTTCTCTCTCTCCCTTCCTCTCTGGAATCTTTAAAATATTTTTAAAGATATCATAATACAGACTATAAAATAATGTGGCTGATTTTTTTGAAGTCACCCAGAACAGTCATCTGTGTGCAGGCCCAGCCAGGCCAGGCAGCCACAGAGACCACCCACCAGCCGGGCTGTCCCTCACCAAAAACATCTCTGAAATGCTTCCCTTGGGAGTGACTTCAGAACTTGAAACACATTCTTTGAAAATTCTCAATGGACATAAAGTTTGACCCTTACAGCCGCAGATTTGGCTAAGTAAACAACAGGAAAATCATTTGGAGCCGGTAGTAAGGAGGGTTCAGAGGCTGAGCAGGAAGTGCTGTGTGGGCTTGAGACAGACTGTTATCTGCTTTTCCCTGCGCCTCTGACCGACCCTGTGAGGCGTCGAGGCCTGAAATAAGACCCAGCTGCTGTCCTGACAGCACCTAGCCTAGTCTAGATAGTCAAAACGGGAAGAAAGAGGCTCAATTATCTACAGCACAGTCATCGGGAAACCGAATGTTCAGCCCCTGCCCAATGGATTTTCAAAAAATGGGTCAGGACATGTTTCCTGTACTGAGTCCCTCCACCAGATCAGAATGAAAAAGGGCCCAGCCGGTGTGGCTTTGTGGTTGAGTGTTGATCTATGAGTTGGTAGGTCATGACAATTCTCAGTCGGCGCATGCCCACATTGTGGGCTGGGTCCCCAGTGTGGGTGTGTGTGTGTAGGAGGCAGCCAACCAATGATTCTCATCATTGGTATTTCTATCTCTCCCATTCCCTTGCTCTCTGAAATTAATAAAAATAAATTTTAAAAAGTGAAAAACAAGGGGTTGGAAGCGGCTGGGAAGAGGTCGATGGAGAAAAAAAGGAGACATTAATACTTTAAACAATAAAGAATTTAAATTTTAAAAAGAATGAGCTATGCCCTAGCTGGTTAGGCTCAGTGGATAGAGCGTCAGCCTGCAGACTGAAGGGACCCAGGTTCGATTCAAGCCAATGCCACATGCCTGGGTTGCGGGCTTTATCCCAGTGGGGGATGTGCAGGAGGCAGCCAATCAATGATTCTCTTTCATCGATGTTTCTATCTTTCCCTCTCCCTTACTCTCTGAAATCAATAAAGATATAGTTTTTAAAGTGTTTTTTAAAAATGAACTTGGCTGAAACCAGTTTGGCTCACTGGATAGAATGACAGCCTGCGGACTGAAGGGTACCAGGTTCGATTCCGGTCAAGGGCATGTACCTTGGTTGCCAGCACATCCCCATTAGGGGTTATGCAGGAAGCAGCTGATCGATGTTTCTAACTCTATCCCTCTCCCTTCCTCTCTGTAAAAAAATCAATAAAAAAATATTTAAAAAAAAAAATGAGCTAGTAAAAAAAAAAAGTCCAGCCCTGACCAGTTTGGCTCAATGGATAGAGCGTTGGCCTGTGGACTCAAGGATTCTGGGTTCGATTCCAGTCAAAGAGCATGTACCTTGCTTGCGGGCAAATCCCCAGTAGGGGGTGTGCAGGAGGCAGCTGGTCGATGTTTCTCTCATCGATGTTTCTAACTATCCCTTTCCCTTCCTCTCTATAAAAATCAATAAAATATATTTTTTAAAGAAAAAGGTCCAATGGCTAGAACATGCTTTTAAATAATTAGTGGAGGAGGGGGAGGTGGGGGAGGGAGTGTGTGCTCAAACTGCCATAACACAGATTGGAGGGGAGGGAGGCTTCAACAAATATATCAGCTCATAACTCTGAGGCCAGAAGTCCAAGATCAGCAGGGTTAGCCCCTGAGTCTGTGTGGAAGAACCTGTCTCATCTCTCCCCTGGCTTCTGGTGGTTTGCTGCCAATCCTTGGTGTCCTTTGGCTTGTAGACATATCGCCCCAATTTCTGCCTTCATCTTCAAATGGCATCCCCATGTGTGTGTGTGTGCATAAGTGTGTCTGTCCAAATTTATCCTTTTTATAAGGACACCAGTCATGTGGGGTTACGGTCCACCATAAGACCTCTTCTTGACTTCATCATCCTCAAAGACCGTATCTCCAAATAAAGTCATATTCACAGGTACTGGAAGTAAGAGGAGTTTCTCTTTTTCTTTTTAATTTATTATTATTATTATCATCATCATCATCATTTTTGCAGGGAGGAGAAACAGTTGAGCCTATGACAGTGGAAGTTGGCACATGTGGCTTCATCATATGTCCTTTCTGCTGTTGCCTATGTTTGAAAATCTCTATAATAAAAAGCCTTTTGAGAGAGAGAGAGAGAGAGAGAGAGAGAGAGAGAGGTGAAGACATTTCTTCGGGGGAGGGGGCGCTGTGCTACCTGCAAGTCCCCATCCCACCCTCCTGGGACAGGGGCTAGCCCAGAGCCCAGAGAGGGAGAGGACTTCACAGCTTTTGAAAAGTGTCCTTTGTAAAGGCAGGCAGGACGTAGGTTGACTCAGGCGAGGAAAGCTGGGACCTGGCTCCTGGGAAGCATGGTGGGCAAGAGGCAGCTCTGATGGAGCCAGAGGGTCTGCTATTGGTGCTCAGTTGACTTGGAAGCAGGATCAGATTCCCCCATGCAGCGAAGCTGTCCCCAGGAAAGAGAAAGCCTCAAATCACATACCCACCAAATCCACCAGGGGGTGCCACTTGAACACACTGCTGGGTCATCCAAACAGGACAAAGCCGTTAGCCAAGGAGGAACTGCCCTGTCCCCTCCTCCCTGTGTCTAGGCAGAAGGGACCCAAAGGCTGGTGAGAGGGGGAAGGGTGGGCGGAAAGAAAGTCAGTGGCAAAGGGACCAAGCCCCTCTTCCCCATTGAGGCCTCCATCCTGAAGAGGCTTGATCCCGGGCTCCCATCAGACACCAAGTCAAGTTTGGGGATGTGGGTGTAATGCTGACTCGGGCCTGTGTCCCAGGGGAATTCTCAGGTAGAGCGAATTCCACTACAGAATAAAGCGGTGGAGGGAAAAGCAATGTCCTTTGATGACATCCAACTGCATGTCTTTTCACTCTGCACCCTAGGACCACTAGGGGGAGCTGTAGTGCAGTATGAACAAGATCTGTGGGAATCCAAAGGAGGAAGCATGCATTTCTGCCCAGGGGAGTGTGAGATGGATTCTCAGAGCAAGTCCTCCAGAAACAAACAAGAGGTAAGTACCACTCTCTGTTCTCACATCCACCCTTTGAGATGTGTGTTTCCAAGTTCTGCAGCTGAAGCCATTAAGGTGCAAACAGGGGAAGTGGCTTGCTAAAGGTCACAGCGTGTGACCGGGACTCTCGGCACTGTCAACAACAACATCCCCTTGGCACCCACTGTCCCAGGCACGCTCCCAGCTTCCTATGCTGGGCTGGTACACCGGAAAGTCAGAAGGACTGGGGAACCACAATGAGCTACTACTTCCTACCCAATAGGATGGCAATATAATAATAATAAAAAGTAAGTGTTGACAAGGATGTGGGGAAATGGGAACCCTTTGAACCATTGTCCACTGCTGGTGGGAATGTAAAATGGTGCAGCCATTGTGGCAAAGTCTGGCAGTCCCTCAAAAAGTTAAACATGGGCCAAAACCGGTTTGGCTCAGTGGATAGAGCGTCAGTCTGTAGACTAAAAGGTCCCAGGTTCGATTCCAGTCAAGGGCATGTACCTTGGTTGCGGGCACATCCCCGATGTAGGGTGTGTGCAGGAGGCAGCTGGTCGATGTTTCTCTCTCATAGGCATTTCTGGCTCTCTATCCCTCTCCCTTCCTCTCTGTGGAAAA